AAATTACTTAGCCAGGAAAAGTGTGATCTTGACCAATGTTACCCAGCTACCTATGACTCAATGTGTATAGAAATTAAATAAACACAGACTTCACAGCTTTCACAAAATTAACTCAAAGTGACCCTTAAACTGTTGTTTCTGACCCTCCAGCCACTGATGGTTCATCCAAAGACAGAAGCCCCATGCTCTAGAGCTCTCTCTGCAAATGGAGGTGATCTCCTGCTATGGCTCTGCAGCCCCTTATGCACCCTTGTGGTTTCAGGTAAACCCAGCCCCACTGATGCCAAATCCCTCTAAAAACATAGAATAATTTATAATTTGCTTCCTGCCACATGGATTATGGCACAAGAAGTGGGTTCTGCCCGAACAACCTGCCCAACACCATACACACCTCACAAATCTCTGCCTATCAGAAACTCTTTAGTCCCCTAGAGCTAAACCTTACTGAATCACAACATTGTGGCTGATGGTAGCAGAAAGTGAGAAGCATTCTAAACATGTATTAATGAAAGAGGATCCACATCACTATCTTTCTACCAGTTTCTAAACTATTTGTAACATTCATAAGACAAACCTGAAAGAGGAATGCCATATTCAGAACTTCTAAAAGCCAGTCGATCAGTTTCCAATCTGTCTTCCCACTGAACACCAAAAGCAGTGCTCTTGTGTGCATACTGGGCAGTGATATTACCAGCATTATGTCCTTCCATGCCAGGGCTGCAGTCTCCCCCTCCCCAGGAAGTTCAGACACGGGAAGGTTCAGAGGACAAACACCACTGCCCAGGTCACCACATGGACCAACAGAACCACAGTCTTGCTCGTAGTCCACCCAAAACCCAGCAGAAATGACAGTACAGCAGACCTGCTGTGACTGTCCCACACTCACCATGGCATGGCTTGTGGTCTTCCTTACAACTCCCCACAGAGGATGCAGAGAAGAATCCCAAAAAGTACCTGCAAGCTACCTGCTGCTGATACTCCTGACAGATAAGCCTCTCCAGAGTCCCTCATTGACTAGGGCCACCCAGCTGGGTCTCAGAATATTAGCACCTCCCCTACTAGATGAACAGGGATCAAATGACTCAGACAGCACAAGGCCTTCCTGCTCTTCTGCCCTTCCAGCCCAGCAAGCAGAGCACTGGTCTAGAAAGTTTGTATTTTAGTAGACATTCTTTCACCCTCCAGAGCACCTCCTGTTCTTCATCCAAAGCACAAGGTCCTTTGTGGACATATTTCATTACGCACTCAATGTCCAGTGCAGCCAACCCATTGCCTCATAGCTGGGAAATTCTGCAGCCAAACACAGGTCACATTCACACAGTACATGTTTTACTGTGTAACTGTTGTTAAAGAAAAACAGGCCATGAATTAGAAAACAATGAAAGGTCATGGTAGGGCTTGGTGGCAGGAAAAAGAATGTGGATATGATGTAGTGATAATCTCAAAAAATTATTTTGAAAAGTTGAAACAGGGTTTATAGCCATGTGCTCCAGAGACTAGGGATTTGTATTAGAGCACATCAAAGATTTCTCACACCTCTTCTCTCAGGATGAACATCTTAAACTAGAAAATTAACAGTCCTGTTAGGCAGGGCCACAACATTTTATACAGATCTTCTATTTTGGTTGAAATACTATAACTATAGCAATTTGGTTTCATAATAAGGTCACTCTTTATCTAGATTCTAGATTGCCTTGGTCTGTGGACCCCAAGAAATGGCCAATCAGTATCTTATAGAGCATCTGAAATTGATTACCTAATTCCACAATGCTAATCTCAACTACTGTTGAAGTAGAAGAGCTCTTACCCTCCATCCTGCCTCTCCCTTTCTACACTGTGACTCCACAAGCTTCAAAGTTGGTCAATGAACTCAATTCTTGCACAGGTACCTCTTCATTTATAAGTCCTCACTAAAAGCCAAAGATTGGAGGTCACTCACTAACTGGTCTATTTTTTCTTCTCACTGAACAGTCGAGGCTCAGAATGGAAAGAGCTAAAGAACTGTCTTCCCAGACCTTGGCAGCAGAGGCAGGATTAGGTGTTCAAAGCAATTCTCGATAACACATTATGAAGGAAGCCTGGGCTATATATGAGACATTGCTCTACACAGAAATAAATAATCAACAGCCCTTGAGAAAAAAGGGATGAATTTAACATTAGGCCTAGAAACAGTGGGGAACAGAAACCAATAGAAATAAGAGCAGTAATGCACTTGAAGAAAATATTTAAAAAATTTTAACATTTAACACTTAAAGCAGTAAGAGATTTATAAAATGATATAAATAATGTATTTTTAAGATTAAAAAAACACTTAGCTATATTGACTTTGAAGAGGAGTAGGCTTTCTCCTAGTACAGTGTCATTAATAAGAGATAGATTGATCGTGTCCATATGCACATGTTGGCTGCTGAGGTCTGTTACCTGACACACAGTTACAGTCAATGGCCTGTTATTCAAACCTCTGAGCCTGCATTACTGTGTCAAGCAGAACTGACCATATCTGCATAGGACAGTTGCCTAATTGCAAATTCAATATTCATTGGCTCAAGATAACCTTCCCAAACTGTACACCTACACAATCTGGTCTGTGTTCATTCACATGAGATGAATTAAAACATGCTGGGAAATTACAAAATCACTCCCACTTCCACAATCAGATCCTTTTCCATAATGGTGACTGCAGCAGCTGATTGACCACCCTATTTCCCCTGAGGTGTACACAAGAACCTGTTCCTATTTGGTCTGAAGACAGAAACAATGTTCCACATGTGGATCTTTCTCCTGTGACTACACTGGATGGTTGACTACATGACTCAAATGGATAATTTTAGAACTCTGGGCTGGTACAATCATTTCATTTAAGAATTTTCAAGGTACATTATAGAGGACAGCAAGGTCATTGCCCTAGAAATCAACAGACTGGAATCAAGGCCACCTGAGTCAACACAAGAGAGCTTGTCTCAGAAACACTTTTTTAACAGGATGAAATGCAGTTGTTCTACAATTAATACGCCTTCCCAAGAAGAAATCACTTAACACACTTAGAATAATAAAGAAAAATCTCTTTAATGATAGTATGCCTCCATCTCTGGCTAATGCTCAAAGAGGAAACAGCCTAGACATATACTGCATTCCACATATGCTGTCATCCTCAAGTGTCTTTTAGGTTCATGCTTCAGGTTAACTTTGAACAATCTAAACAGAGACAGGCAACTTGTAAAAGTCTAGCCACTTAGGCAGATGGGAGAGTTACACAGCAAAGATATTCCCAGACTTATGTAAGTATGTAAGTGACCTGAAATGGCAGGACTCTCTTCAGTGACAGTGCCCTGAGGTGGAGGTGCCAGGGGATGATAAAGATAAGAAAAGTAGAAGGTAGAAAAAAATAAAAGCTGTGGTGGGGAGGTCCTGCACAAGCTATATCTCATGCCAAGTAAGCTTAAGAATAGCATCTTGGAGCCAGGCGGTGGTGACTCACGCCTTTAATCCCAGCACTGGGGAGGCAGAGGCAGGCGGATCTTTTTGAGTTCAAGGCCAGCCTGGTCTAGAAAGCGAGCTCCAGGAAAGGTGCAAAGCTACACAGAGAAACCCTGTCTCGAAAAAAACAAAACAAAACAAAAAAAAAGAATAGCATCTTGGGATCTCTGTGAGTTCGAGGCCAGCCTGGTCTACAGAGTGATTTCCAGGAAAGGCACCAAACTACATGGAGAAATCCTGTCTCAGAAAAAAAGAAAAAAAGAAAAAAGAATAGCATCTTGGATACTACTTCCAGTGGGGAAATGGAAGACAATTGGAGACTTCTATGAAGTCAACAGAAACTATCATACAATGGGACAAAATCAGGAGGAGACTAATTAAACAATACTGCACAAGAGGAACACAGGGTATCTCAAGAACATTACTAAGCCCACAGTGGCCTTGGAACTGATAACCATAGCTCCATGTGTTGGGAATAGCTGGGTTCTCAGCATTGGAGGAAATCCCTGCACAAAGGCATTACCAGCACTGCCAAGCTATTCCAGGCTTTGGAGAAGGAGCTCTGTTTTATTGCCAATACATCAGGCTCTTAGGGAAAGCTCCCAAGTCCCAGGCCCCAGGCCATTACTAGCTCTCCCAAGAATACTCCTCTTCCCTGGCTGAAGGTCTAAAGGAAAGCCTTGCTTGATCAGGTAGGTCTGTAACACAACACTGATTGATATTTCAAATAGTTGCCACCTGGTGTCATGTTTTCTTCCATTTGCCAGAACTACGCTTTTCTCAGGAAGAAAACTGGAACTTTGTGACACAATGCCTCCTTAAGCAGCTTGTTAGAGGTCTGTTCTTTGATATGGGCATGGGCCCAGTGGCTGGTTGTAAAACAAGAGTGCTCCTTTGTAAGTTTGGAGCCAAATGTCTGGACAATCTTGGTGAACAAATGTGTATCCTAGCATCCTAATCTCTAACAGGCCTAGTTAGCATACTACTTATCTTTGGAGTGTTTTAGAGGCAGTCCTCCCTCAGCAAAATTCTACATTGAGTAATTATTACATCCTAAACTTTTGAAAATGCTTTATACCACCAATTATACTCTTCTACATCACAGTGTAGTAATGCACTGCTACCCAACACATGAGATGCTTTTACAACTTCCAAAAAAACAACTAGAAATGGGCTTTACACGTAAAGGTAAAATGCAAAGTACTGAATGTCGAGAAGCTCCTGGAGAAACTCTGCCTCTCTGAGTTTGGCAGCCTGCTTTCCACAAATGCACCAAAAGCATGCTAAGACTGACAAAATGATCTTTCTACACACAGCTCCCTGTTTCCCATGATCTGTGAAGATGCAGCCCACAGAGCAAAGTTATTCAGAGGCATGCCCCTGCGTCCAGGGAGTTGCAATGACTGCTGGGACCTCACAGGGCAGACAGAGACTCTGGTTGCAGGATCCCAACCAAACCTGGAGAGGCCCTGCCACACCAGCTCCTGCAACCTCCCCTCTGGAGACAGCAGTCCCTCGCTCACCTGGTCACCGTTTCCCATGCTCTCCAGTCAGCTCCCTGCAGCAGCGGCACTCACAGCACAGCACACAAGACCTCTCCCGCCAGCTCCTCTTCAAAGCAAAGCCTGAAGCCTGGAGCCCGGAAGCGCCCTGCACCACTTATGACTGGCAGGATGCCTGGAGGGCCTGATTGGCTAGTGAGTTCTGAGTGACAAGAGCACCTCCCATAGGGTTACCCTGTGTTTAAAGACACAGTACCATGGTTCCTGACCCTCCCTTCCACCTCAGACAAAGACCTTTTGTAAACCAGCAGATATACGCAATTTAATAGCATTTGCCTCCTGACTCCAATAGCCGACCCTGCTAACTTCTTGCTTTCTAAGACACTTCTGCTTTTTCATCCTGGACACAATGAAGCTAGCTAGCTTGTGCAGCCCTCTGTACTATGTAGGAGGAGTAATTCCCTATCACACAGGTGGAAGGGTGCCCATAATATTAACAACTAAAGAAGGATTTAAGGACACAAAAGGAGATGATGTTCAGTGGCTTCACACAGAGGTCAGGTGAACTGAAGGTACTTTTTACCTGGTTGTCACAAGGACTTCAGACAACCAGGAAAGAAAAGCAGGAACCAGATCACAAACAAGATAATAGATCTTTCTCCCATCAGAAGGCTGGATGATGGCTCCATTAATTTAGGAGTTTTATTCCTGAAATTCAGAGCAAACTGTTGGCAAGTGAGTAATAATAAAAAGAGTAGTCTTCATGGAAAGACGAATATTTAGAGAATAAAGGAGCCAGGAAGAATGTCTTTATGAGCACTATTGTTAGCCAGCTAATCAGGCAGGTTAAAAAAAAACAAAACAGCTGCATTATTCAAGGTTCTCCATATGAACATGACTAGTAGAATTAATCTCTACATGTATGTATAAAGGCAAATTATTAGACTGTCTCATAAACTGTGGTCCAGCTATTCCAACAGTGGCTGTGTACCAATGGAAATTTGAAGAAGCCAGTAGTTGTTCAGTCCCTTTGACTGAATGTCTCAGCTCCTCTTCAGTATACAACAAAATTAAAAAGAAGTAGGCCCTAATGGCAGTAAAGGAGTGAACTTGGTAGCCAGAGCTAGGACAAGCAGGCAAAGACAGAGGGCTTCCTTCTGTGATATCCTTTATATATGTCAGCTGCTGCCAAAAGGCGTGGTCCAGATTAAAGGTGGATCTTATTGTTTGTTGATTGGTTTTTTGGTGTTTTCAAGACACGGTTTATCTGTGTAGCCCTGGAACTCATTTTGTAGACCAGGCTGGCCTCAAACTCAGAAAATACAACTGTCTCTGCCTCCTGAGTGCTGTGGTTAATGGTGTACATTGCCACCAAGCAGCTAAAGGTGGATCTTATCACCTCATATGATACAGAGAAAAGATAGATTTTTTTATTTCAAAAGCTTTAAGAAAAATTCTTCACGGATGGTACTCAACTCTTTGGGTTTTAGTTCATTCCAGAGGTAGTCAGTTTGACTACCAAGAATGGCCATCACAACAGCCAAGACAGAAAAAATTAGAAAGATTTCTTACTTGAAGGAGGCAAGGACAGCATGGGAGTTATTTCCAAAACAATGCTTTTCAACAAAGGGAGCATGTGGATTATTTAGGGAGTAAGAGCATGTTCATGTAGAATTCTGAGTATTTGTAAGCATGCTCAGTCAACAAATCCACTTCTGAACATGATCACAATGTAAAAGCAGAGGCATTCAGGGACATTCTTACCTCAAAGCCATGTAAGAACATATATAAATTATAAGAATGATGGAAAGAAATGCCTCTGGCGTGTTCATCTTGTACCTCAAGGTCTTAGCTGAAAGTCAAGCAGATGAAGCTGTGAGGGTAGACGACTGCTTTGGAGCCCATGGTGCCTGTCACTCTTGATGTTGGATCTAAAGGATAACTGTACCAATGCCACAATTTTCACAGGTACAAAAGACAGAACACAAATAGAGAAAACATCCAGGAAAGTTCACCTAACAGCACTGCATACTCTGCTCTTAGATGAACGGTATGATGAGCTCTATTGACCTCAGAACAAAGCGGCTTTTGCCTCTGAGCAGGCTGGCTCACTAGAAGGCCACAACTGCATCCATGCAAGACCAGAAGGAGTTCATTTTAACTAGCCCTGGCTGCTATCTGTCTCAGGACTGTGACATCACTGTAGAGAATTCCATTCTTTCCTTTTTCTAACTGTTTTTTTTTTTAATTAAGTTATATGGTGTTTTGCCTGCATTTGTCTGTGCTTAGTACCTACCAAGGCCAAAAGCAGGCAGGAGATGCTGGGACTGGAGTTACAGCAAATGGTTAGCTACCATGTGGGTTCTGGGAATGGAACCTGGGTCCTCTGTAACAACACCCAGTGCTCTCAATTGCTGAGCCTATCGAGCCCCTGTTTTTTATTTAAAATTTATTTCCATAATGGTTAATTAAAAGATGTTATATCACTTTCCCTTTTTATCTCTTCATTCCATCCCCTCTTAAATCCCTTCCAACTTCTTCCTTGTTAAGTATGGGTGAATAAGTATGCTAAGTACATGAAAACAGCTGGGCAGTGGTGGCGCACGCCTTTAATCCCAGCACTCGGGAGGCAGAGGCAGGTGGATCTCTTTGAGTTCGAGGCCAGCTGTATACTCTGCTCATAGATGAACGGTTATAATGAGCTCTATTGACCTCAGAACAAAGTGGCTTTTGCCTCTGAGCAGGCTGGCTCAGGAGAAGGCCACAGCTGTTTCCATGCAAGACCAGAAGGAGTTCATTTTAACTAGCCCTGGCTGCTGTTCTACAGAGTGAGATCCAGGAAAGGCGCAAAGCAGCACAGAGAAACACCCTGTCTCGGAAAACAAAAAACAAAACAAACAAATAAAAAACATGAAAACAACCTGCTGCATCCATTTGTGTTGTATACATTCTTGTTGTACATATATGGATAATGGGCTCACCACATTGTACTTGGTAAACAATTAAGGAGCTCATCCTTAATTAATGGATTTCAAAGGGATGTGTGTATACTTCAGTTGCTAAACCTAAATACATAAAATTGAAACACTAAAGCTTTAAAAGTATGGGTTCCTAATGAACTTAGACTCTACAAAACAATATGTACAGGCAAGTTTTGGGTGTTTTCTGGAAGTGGATGAATTAGTGAAATTTATTTCACATATCATTTTACTTTGACAATGTAAAGTAACTTAGACATCTTCAACACAATCTCTACTGTGCTCTCTCTCACACAAAGTCTGTTATTTAATGGATATGTAATGATATTCACTTTCGTTTTATGTTTGAAATATTTGCTATGTTTCAGGGATTTTTGTGTGAGCATGAATTTGTAGGTTTTTTGTTTGTTTGTTTGTTTGTTTGTTTGTTTAGTCTTTGGGGACCAACCACCCAGCTCCCAAATAAATACACAGAGATTTATTCTTAATTATGAATGCCTGGCATTAGCTTGGCTTGTTTCTAGCCAGCTTTTCTAACTTTAATTATCCCATTTCCCTTTAACTACATTTTACCAAGATCACATTTCCAGAGGGTTCTCTTCCTGTCTCTGCCTGCTGCCTGTCTTCACATGACTCTCTTGCTGCTAGCTTGCTAAGGGGGAGCTGGTGAGAGGAATGCTCTCTGGTGTGTTTCTCTCTATAAGAACATTAATACTACTGGATCAGGGCCCTACTCTCAAGAAGTCATTTAATCTTAATTACTTCCTATGTCCATTATTAGCAAATATAGGTACCCTGGGCATTAGAGTTTCAGGTTGAGAACCACTGGTATATATCTATCTTGATTGCCAGTCTTGTACTTTATGTGAAGTTAGCTGCATTTTAATCTCTCTATTTACTGTTTCCTTCAGCCCACTGTCTCTTCCTAATTCTGTATTGGATCCTAGGGTGACTAATTTTACAAATTCATTTAATATACATTTTCAGTGTTTATTTACCATATAGTAGGGTAAAGATTTCACTTTCCTTTCTATAACTGGAAAAAATTTATATGTATATATATTATATTATATAGATAGATAGATAGATGTAGGGTACAATTTATATATGAAATATATTTCAATTAAGTTCTAAAATTAAGTGTATTTATATAAGGAGATTAAAATTACCTTTAATTCTATTTCTATTTTTTACTTAGTCTTAATTTCCTGTGAGTTAAAGCCTGTTTATATAAAAAAGTCCCTGATCCCTTATGTAAGTATGGATCTGTCGTGATTTTTATTCAACTAAGCTAAAGCCATATCGATTGTCACCAACAGGTCCAATGACAGTAACGTTGATTAATCTCCATATGCATGAGCATCTGGTTTCAGAGCATTGCACACAGCACACTCAGTGCTATCTCAGCCTTAGGGTGTTCACTGACAGATGAATCCTGGATATGTACATCCAGGATGGCCACAATGGAAGTACCCACTGTGGCCAGACATCTGGCTGTGCTGAGAGACCTGATCTCTACACTTTGGTTTACCCAGCCCCTAGACCTGAGTTCTGTCCTGCAGTGAGCTGCTACATAGGCTGTTTCCAGGAGAGAAAGGGCAGGTGAAGGGGTGTGGCCCTTGCTGCTTCCTGAAATGACAGCAGGTGATACAGATAGTTGTGCTGCACATACACTGTTTCTGCGGTTCTTGTTGACTGCTCTTACCCCACTCTCTCCTTTTCTTCCCTGGGCTAACTTATTCCAAGTGTTCAGTGGTCTATCCTCATCTATATCACAAATTCAGAGGGAGGTTTTCTCCAAGAGTGTGTCACAATCATAACCTCTTTCCCCACATCTTCAGACCTGAGCCCGGGATATCATTGGGAATGAACAGGTCTGTTTCTTGCAGGGGTGTTGTATGTGATGTTCTTGAGTTGCTATCCTTGCTCACCATCATCCCCATGCCTCCGACAGTCTGTGCCCAGGGCTCACAAACTTTAATGAGAGGGTTTATATAAATATTTTTCTCCTCAAGTTGAACAAGTCTTCTAAAACACTCAGGTGGCATTTCGTCAGTGCATGCATAGAGTGGATACATTTTTATCAATTAGATAACTAGTTATTGAATGATTGGTACCAAATCCATTCACTGTTTGCTTTTCATTTAAAATTGTTAGATAAATT